CCCCAAAACCCCAAAACCCCAAAACCCCAAAACCCCAAAACCCCAAAACCCCATTTTTAGAATTCAAATATAATTTTAACTATAAAAATAAATTTGATGGCAACTATAACTGGAGAGAGTAAGACAAATTTTGAATATTTATCCAATCCTTTACATGAGAATAGCCTAATAGTAGATTTAAAAGGCCCAGATTTGGTCTATCAATATCATTTGCTCTAAATCCTAACTTATATATAAAAAATATAGGCTCTAAACCAGGATTTGATGCATCAAAGCATGTTCCTCCAACCTACGATATTGGGGGACATTACAATCCTCCAAAGATTTCTACAAAAGTGGCTGAAACATTTAACAACGGAATAAATGCTAAAGATGTGAGGATTCCTGAATCATGGATTGGGCCTGAACCAGGCAAAACTAGGACATCAATGAAGCATACTCAAAAAGTGAGCTTAGTCCCTGATCCCAGCTTTGACATTGATGGTGATGGAGTAGTAGGAGAAAGAGACATCCTCATATCCCGTATGTTCGACAAAAACAAGGATGGTATCCTTGACAAAACTGAGAAAACTACTGCAATGCAGCATTTAGAACAATATCATAATAAATTAGCCAAGAAAACAGAGATGAAGCAAAACTCCTTATGGGGCATAAATAGAGATACTAAGAACACTTATTTTAGAGTAGAGCATAAGAAGAGACTTATGTCTGATTTTAAAGACCATAATAAGTCTTCAACTGAACCTCCCACAAAGAGAGCTGTCTACCGTAAAACAATGAGTGATATGAAATTTAACAGAAGAAAAGCAGATAGGCAAAAACTGGAGGAACTTAAAACAAACTGGGACTTGAAAAATCCTTCTCAAGAGACAAAATCTTATATCAGAAGTGAGTTCTTAGTCAATAACCCTTCTCATACCTCTATCAATCAGATCAATAGTGAAAAGAAAAGGGAGATTAGAAGAAAGGCAGGACTGAAGGAGGTAGCTGACTTTTCTGTTGATGATAAACCTCCTCCAACACTATCGTACCTGCACACCCCTTCTATCCCTAGTAAAGCTTGTCTTGAAGACCAGAGAAGGAAGACCAATTTGACCGAGCTTAAAAATCTGGAAAAGAAGCAAGGGAATGTAGAAGTGGGGATAAATAGACTCATGAAGAAAGAAGAAGCTGTTTTTAGTCTAGGCAATGCTAATCACCGGAAGACTAAAGAGATGATCGATGAGAGAAGACGTAAAGAAATGCTAGAGAATAACATGCGAGTTTTTGGCAATGTCTCTATTGGAATTCATGGCAAAGAACTTCCCAAATATCATCATAGTATGTCAGAGTGGTGGAAGAATAAGAGAGGGTTTAACGAAAATCCTAAAGAAAATTCCCTATTGAGATTCAAACAGAATACAAAATATTGGGCTAAAGATGACAATATTCTTTTATGAGATTTTCTACCTGAGGAGCCCCATCCTGATGATTTTAAACAAACTCATGTGAAGAAAAATGTGAAAGATCAAGTAGCTGAAGGACCTCAGAGGCTTAGGGCTCCTAAGCAGAATGATAATATTGTTCTTGGAAATTCGAAGAAGATGCCTCCAAGAAATTATAGATGGACTTCTCTTGAAGATCAATTTGTTGAAAGAGCAAATAAATTTACCAAAGAGGTAGATCAGACCAGAGCTGAAAGGGGAGATTATGATCCTTTATACTCTTCCTTTAATCCAAATGGTACTTTTAATCCTCCTCCAGCATCGATTGATGTCAGAAATAAGCAAAGAGAGTATCAAAAGACAAGCATCTCTGGCACAATGACAAATAAAAGTATGGGCTTAAGAGCTAATACAGCCTTAAATGCTGAAGAATCTCTCATGGGAACTGGACAAAACAGCATAAACCTCTTCGCCAGAGCTACTACAGTTGAAAACCAACCTGCAATGTCTGCTGCAAATAGATCATTCAAAAACTCTACACACAAAGGAATAAGGTCAGGTGCTTTTAGACAACTCTAACTGAAACATCCACATAAATCCTAAGCCCATTATAATCTTCTTCAAATATCCCCTTAAAAGCCAACCCCACCACTTCCCCTCTAAATTCCTCTTCACCCATATTTCTTTTCTTTATCCTCACTCAAGAACCCTTTAACCCCAAAAATAACTTCTATGTGTCCAATTTTACCTTTCAAATTTTTTTTGTTGATATGGGGTTTTGGGGTTTTGGGGTTTTGGGGTTTTGGGG